CCCTCTCCTTCTGGGACTTGGTGCTTTTACTCCTCTTAGAAAAGCCTGTGTTATTCCATAGCGTTCACATTCTCCTGGAAACCTTCAAAATGTCCGTGTACCTTCCTTGCAGCTTCCCAAGCAGCCAGGGTGGTGGTGCAGATGCTTTTCCCCTTGCCCAAACCTGTGCAGTAGAGATGCCAAGCAAGCCAGCACTGCATGACTGCTACATACATCCTGCACGGGCACCTCTCCTCAGGCTCACGCCAGAGGTCAGGGAACCCAAGATCTCATCTGCTGCTGGTGGTGGGGTGATGCCAGCTCGTGCCTCCCCACCTGCGAGCCCATGGCCGTGATGGCAGGGAGCCTGGCTAATGCTCTGGATCCTGCTGGAGTTCTTTCCACACCTCTCAACGGCCAAGGAAAGCTCTATAAAAGGTTTGTTGTAGGTAGAAGCTCTCCTAGGAGAGAAAATAGTTTTGGCCCTTAAAATATCTGGTTGGGCTGTCAAGTGTCAAGTTTGCTTTCTTGGTTTCTGCTGAAGGTTTCCCTTTGAGACCATGCATTAAGGGCTTCTCAGCCTTTAGCCGAGTGGATGGAAGGATTAGGCTTTTAATGAAGTCTATTAATGAAGCCTGCAAGCTATTGGAGTGAAGCAAATGTACAGTAAAAAAATAGTAATAATCTGATTAATCACCTCTTTCCTTGTTTTCCAAGCTGATGTACCATCACTGGTTGCAAAATAAGGCTACCCTTGCCTTACAGAAAATCAGGAATGAGTACTGGACTCCTTGTGTCCATCCAACTGCAGCTGCAGCAGGAGCCATACCCCTGCCAACGCATTGCTGAAGAAAAATACAGCAGAAAAGCAGCTTTGGATCCTCCCGGCTCGAGCCCCGCGTGGCTGGGATGGGAGGGCGGCCGCGGTGTGTCCTCAGCTGCGTCGCCCATGAGCAAGGGAGGAGCACGCTGGGCCATGGTGAGTGGTGCCAAAGCCCAACGTGGTCAGTGCCAGTAACCTCTGTCACAAATGAGTGAAAAGCACAGGGTGGGGAGAGGGTTGGAGGCAGCATTAAGTACCCCAAGGCTGCCTTTCTACCTGTTGTACCCTGATAGTGGTGTGGCGTAAGAGCTGGCACTGCATTTCCTGCACTTCAGCGCTCAGGTGAGTGAACAGGATTTATTTCCCTGTGTTGTACCACTGGGTCTGGGAAAAATAATCTTTTAGTAATTTGATTATTTTTTAATTTGTCAGTAGCAGACCAGCAGGGCAAATGCATCCCATGCACCTAAGGAATGAGGATGAGGGTTTTCCTAGACCAGGAAAAGCCAAGCGCAGTGCCAAAGGCTGTTGTGGTTTTCGGTCTTACTTGGTTTGTGCTTGGTTGGGCCGAAGTGGCACCTATAAACCTTCAACATCGTTTTTCTTTTGTCTAAAATTAAAAAAATCCCCTACACTTTAAGAAAGGGAGAGAGTTCTTTCTGCAAACCTTCCCATCCCACCCTCCAACCCCAACATCTACGTTTGGCAATGTCACAAGGTTTCAAAGCTGCATATTTGTTGAACCATCCCATCCAAAAGCTGTTTTTTATTTTGCTTTAATAAGTTGAGAGGTTACAATACACCCGATTTTTTAAGCAGGTATTTTTAAACTGCTTATTTAAATCAGCTGAATTTAAATTCCAGCTCTACTTTTTCTGCTTCCCTAACAAAAAAGTTGGTATTTCAAAAGCTCGGGGCTTCAGTTCAAGTGATTCACCCTGCTGCAGATACCATCTGAATCAAAACAAAGCATGGATCCAACAACCACACTCACTAAGGGAGAATTAAGCCGCTAAAAACATTATTTAAATTTGCCTTTATGAATAATCATGACATATTTCCTCAGTTGCTCTCGTGTAGCTTTGTTTCAGCAGCTATCATCCCCTGCAGAAGAGAACCATCAGCGGTTTGAAGAGCATTATCCTCAAAGACAAACAGCCTCTGGAAGCAAGGTGGGCCCTGCTCTCCAAAATGCATGGACCAGTCATTAAGATGTAACGTTGGCCATCCTCCTCCTCCTCACGGAAGGAAGGCTGCGTGCCTTTTTGGCACATGTTTTCAGAGGTATTCCCAGGGAAAACACTGGTTTGCTCCTCTAATTTTCTTTTTTTGAGTCCTGCAGGTATTCCCTAAAAAAGGAAGCAGTGCATGAATTCCTTGTTTTGTTTTGCCTGCAACTCCTAAACTGTCTTTATCTCAACCCATTAATTTTCTCACTTTTACTCGTACAATCTCTCCCACATCCCACCAGGTGGGCAAGTGAGCGAGCAGCTGTGCGGTGCTCAGTTGCTGGCTGCAGTAAAACCACAACAGTCCTTTCTGGTGCCCAACATGAGGCTCAAAGAGTTTGAGGTAACGGTAGATGGGCCTGGACGGTGCTAGACTGAACCTCCAGCGGTTACTGCTGTTGAGCTACCAACTGAGAGGCTGCCGTGCTGGCCCTGGGGCTCGCTTGCCTCACTGTGTATCCACTCCAGTGCTCGTTAGTGGCCGGTTTTTGCTGTTGCTAATTGCAGCACCGCTTATCACCCTACCCTGCTGTGCCTGGGAACATTCTGATAACAGAAAAGACCATGTGCCTGGGATGGCAGATGGCCAGGACAGCGCAGTTCTTTCTCTGCTGCTGTACTAGATAGGCTGGAACTCCAGAGTGAACTCGAGTCAAAGGGACTGTGACCTGGGGATGAGTAGATGCAGGAGAGGGACATCCCAAGGGGTCTGTGGTTATGTTTGTGCCTCAACCTTTAAAGATAAGCTGACGCTGGAGAAGGTGCACCTCAAAGCATCTACAGCTGTGGATGAGGTCATGCAGTCATGCTGGAGCACCTCAAAGCATGTGGTCATGGATAAGCCCACAACAATCTCCCAACCAAAACCACCTGCTGCAGCAGCCTAAGTAACGTTAAGGACATTCTGGTATATCCAGGAAGTAATCTGGGAGGAGAGAGGGTGTAACAGCAGGGAGAAGAGCTGTCACTATGGATTTAGGGAAGCAGTTACAGAAGTTCAATGTAATAGCAACAAGGAAATCTCTCACAAAAAACAACTGAAATGACTTTATTTTTTAGGTATATTAGCACAATATTTACAAAACTTTCATAAATAAAAACATTTTCAGGGGTAAAGACTATAGCTCCATAGATATTTAAAATGTCTATATATTTCTATATACACACATACGTACACACACAAATGGAAGCAGACAGTTATGAACAACTTTGGTTTTAAATTACTGGTGGGAAAGGGCTGGGGTGTATCAATGACTTTTTAAACTCTCGCTTTTAAATTTGTACCCACAAGAAGTCCAGAGCAGAGCCCTTAACACAGCAACAGGATGGTTGGTGGGTTTCTCCCATTGTGGGACAATTGGTTCTGCAGCCTGTACGCGGCCACCGAGCTCCTCATGTTTCAGCAATGCCTCCTAACAGCTCAGAATCATCCTACAGTGACACAAACGGGTTCTACTGCAGTTTGCTTACAGATGTCAACATAAAGCTACTAAACACAACGGTTTTTGTAAGGCAGAACACCTCAACAGCATTCCAGTTGTTTTTTTTCTGTTCCTCAACTGCTCAACGTTCAACTCGCCAGAGAGAACCGCTATTTATAAGTAGGGAGCTCTGCATGGTACTTAATCAGGTAAATTCTAACACTGAATCGTTAATGAATAGTCATCTTCCACCTTTAGGTAGAGATTGTTGTGGTTCTGGAGAAACCTGTACCAAAAGATTCACTATAGGAGCCAAGATCTCAAATGCTCCCACTGACAAACCTGAAGGTATCCAAGTGTGAACATATGTGCTTCTTAAATGTTTCATCACATGAATCACCCTCTTCACTGTGGCCAGTTCCACTGATTTTCGTGAGGGCTGGACCATGGGTCACTCTAAGCAGTTCAGTCCTGCAGCTCTAGCAAGAGGACTATTTCTGAGAGTAAATATTGCAAAACCAGATACCTCAAGTTTATTTTGTTGAATTCTTGATGCAAGGTGTCTGGATCAAGACTTGGAGCTCAACATGTAGAGACCCGAATCTCTGCCACATGCACCCACAACATGGATATGAACCTTAGTTTATAACATCCAACTCTGAGACTTGCCAAATTACTCAAAATCTTTAAAAACGTGGATTTTATTACATTACTGTTTGGCAACAGCTTTCCAAACAAAGTTTTAAAGTGTTAGAAGGAGAAAAAAACATGTGTGCCTTTGAAATGTATTACCTTAGTACAAACAGGAGACAGTGGGGAGATTTCTACAAAGTATACATATAAGGTCCGAGAGAAACCAGATATATTGGAACAACTCTCAAAACAGTTGTAAAATCTTATGGAATGTGCAAGTCATAGAAACTTGATTTTTATCTGTACCACTTACATATATACAGAAACTGAGCCTCCTCGCTTCTCATGGGCTCCTCCTACTTATGTTCTATTTTACGTATTTGTGATGTAATGGCAGCATCACAAACTTGGGTCAGAAATGAAATAGCTCCTTTTTCCATTCGAGAAAACGGATTTTAAAACTGTCAAAAAATACATTAAATAGGACAACTCCTATTTTTCTGAAGCATCAATGAGTTTTACAAATTCACTTGAGTTAAGAAAGCCTGAAATTGCTTCCAGTACTACACACTGCACAACATGAACACGCACAAGAACCACATTCAGCATGAAAATTAGGAAGCTGCTGTGCTCCGTAATTCCAGTGCTGAATTAGGTTTCAACAGCTGAGCAGTTTCTCATCAAAGAATACAGAAGAGGCACGGAGAGCTCTCTCACTGGACTAAAATATCAGGCACCAGAGCACACATGACTACAGTCCATAGAGAGGAATAGTACTGTTTCGTGGAATTAGAACTCTGTTAAGAACTCAAGAAGAGCTGGGGGCAAACTTTGTACTTATGCAATTTTGTGTATAAACATTTTATTTGTTGTTTTTCTTTCTTTCCCCCCCCAAAAAGTTTTGCTGAATGTCAGAAAAGATGTATTTGTACAATCTCTACTTCCTGCTTGTATCACAGACGTATGACCATACCTTGCCCATGCACACGAATAAAGAAAACAATAGTCTAAATTGTATTGCAATCTCAGGGCTGAGCAGGCCCATTATCAAAGCAGTGACTAATGATAGTTTTTGAAAATAATACCACTAAGGATTAACTGCAGGGACATCCTGTGGTGGGCAAACAGTGCTTTTTATCTTCTCACCCTCAACCATACCATATATATACTGTAACAAAAGAAAATAAAGATCACATGTGGGCAAACACACATGTTCCTGGCTACAGCTGCTGTGACTATAAAATTACATCATTTATATCAAAAGCACTTTTGCCACACATGCAAAACAACTAGTTTCCTGAATTTCTTCTTTGAGTAGTGCATCTTCAAGGCCACGGTGTATGAACAACGGTGTACTTTTCACATGTCACATAGCTCTGCAGTTCTGGGAATTAAAAAAGAAAGAAAAAAAAAGATTGTTTGAGAAGAGCAGCAACATTTTGTGCTGCTTACTCAAGTAACAGCTTAAAAAAAATGACTTCTTTTTATCTCAAACTTTGAAAGCATGCTTAGCACTCAGATGGAAGAGTGGGACTAACAGCAAGTGATGTTTCTCTCCACAACAGAACAACAGACACTGTCTTGGAGCTCCTACTCATGAACCAGAGTAAGCTGTAGCAGCTCCCGGACTCAGCAGTCTGACCTGTCCTGTCTTTACGCCTCATGCTGGTTTACTTCCACATGCCCTTTTGTAAGCTCGTCTGCATCCGACTCATCCCTTCAGTGTCTGTATGAACTTTCAAGGCAAGGTTAAGGCAGAAAGCAGGTAGAGCTCAAAAGGTTAGTGCCTCCAGCTTGCATGTCAGAGCCCTAACCTTCTGTTATTTTTAGGAGCCATCTTTCAAGGCAGAAAAAGCAGACAGGCTTCTAACCCTACCCTAAAAGTAAAAATGAAATGGGTAAATAGCAGTTTCTGTGCTTTTGGAAGCTCTGCCCCAGCACTTGAAGAGGAAGCAGGTTTTTATAAGCCTAAGTGAGACCCAAAAAGAAACACTCAACTTATTTAAAAGTGGATCTCCAAGTAAAACTCTACCTTGTTCTTCAACAGTACATGGTAACTATATTGATCCCATCCTTATCTCCCTTCTGGCCAGCTCTGAATGCAGCAGACTGGCAAACATCTATTTGTTTCATCTGATCTCAAACCACTGCCGTGAATAACAAGCAATGGTCACTTCTGAAGCTGGACCTACCTTCCACTCCTCCTACTTCAGATTATACTAACTGGTACACACTTTATCAATGCATTTAGGAGACACCAATGCAGTTGTCCTTCATATTGCAAAAGTGCTTGTATTCCTGTTGGTTTAGAAAATAATCCTATGGCATATCTGGATGAATCATTTACTAGTAGTAAGTAACACAGACCTAGCAGTACGTGGTATTTGCAAGGAAGCCTGCTTTTAAAATCAACAGATACACCTTTTTCCAATTAGGGCTAATTAGTACCTCGTTTATTGTCACATTGTCAATTGATGCCTTCTCAAAGTGGCATGATATAAAAATATTTCAAGTAAATTAAAAGATTTTGAGTGACCCCACTCTTTATCCTGACTAGCAAAACACTGTATTTTGATGCAGGAGTACTAGCCTAAGGGCTAGCGATACCTCATGACAAGCTTGCTCAGTTTCCAGGAAGAAAGAGAAGCACTAATAACATCAACAAGTGCTCTTTCATCCTACTCCCATGAAAGGAAGTACACCTTCTAAATAGAAAAGAATCAATAAAAGACTGCTTTCATTTTCAAACCTGAGTATCTAATCTAAAATTTAAGCTCTTCAAAGAGAGCAATCTGGCCAGGCAAACTCTGTTACTCCTCTGATGGATATGAGCTGCAGGAACCAAGAATCCTCACAGACTTGGCTAACCACTTTAGGTACCAGTTTGGGAGTTTTGGGCCAAGTTAATACAGCCTCTCTGATTTCATGGCTTTTTATATATTAGGAGGAGTCTATTTACTTGTAGTTGGTGTTGCAACCTCACAGGCCGTTACAAAATCAGAAAGGACTAATCCCAGCATTGAGGACATTTCAAATAGGAAGAAATTTTAAGTTAGGCCAGGACACTGCAACATACATCTGTCTTTAAAATATCTGGTAGATCTTTAAATATCATAACCAACAGGCAGAAGCCACGGTGTGCCCTTAGATCTTGAGGTTCAAAATCAAGGTTTGTCAAAAATAAAGTTATTTAAGCTGTTTTAAAAATTTATTACGATGTGTTTCAGTTCTGTTCATTTTTAAACACTACTATCCGACCCTGAAAAGTAGCAAATTAAGTAAAATCTAATTGGAATACGAACAAACAGAGAATTTAAATAACATCTAAAGGAGGGGCAGGGGAGAGAAAGCCTACTTTTAAACCACTTCCCTGGGAACTTCCACAGGAGGTCACCAATTAAATATGCAGAGTAGGCTTAGTTATATTAACAACAACAACAAAACCACCTCAAAAAACAAATGCAACAACCCACCACCAGTTAAATATTCCATGCATCTTACATGCTATATAGGCATAAAGGAAGCATACAAACTATCTGACCTTCCACATTTGATCAGAAACATACTATTTAACAGTTCCCTCTGACTCATCCTCTTGTTAGAAATATACATTCATCCCCTATGTATGATACAGAAAATATCTATTCTTTCTTTTCAATGAAATATAATTTGAATAAGAACAGCACCTGCACTGAAACCCATCCTCCAAGTTTCATCATATTAGCACTGGGTAACTTGAAACATCAAAATCCCCAAATACATGTTAATTAAAATAAATATCTGGAGATCTATTTGGACTTACCATCATTCTAACATCACTCCTTTTGCATCTTTAAAAGCCAAGCAAATGGATTAGTAATGAGCCAAACAGCAAGAAATGCTTCATAATTAATATCCGGATATTAAAAATTCTAAAATTCAGGTTAGAACTTGCTACTACCCAGCATGCCAATTAGTGATCAGAATAGCAAAAAACCCCCCAAAAAACAGATTAATCCCATTCTCACTCTAAATTTCCCCCATCTTAAGCGCTATCACAGTTTCCCAACACCATCAACCCAACGAGCTGCCCCTACCCAAACAAATACCAAAAGAATAGCGTGGCAAGGATAGATTCTGCTATAATTATAAGTATTCCACCAAGATAAATGCTCATGAAGAAGAATTAACATCAGCTTTCAAGACCTGTCCCTCTTTTCTTCTTAAAAGCTGGACTTTTTGCAAAGCAAAGAGGGTGGATATAATATCCTGAGATATTAGACTTGTCCTACAACAGTCAAATGATGCCACTGGCTAGAAAGCACAGTGGCACAGAACAAGGAGTCTAGAGCTGCAGGCATAATTGCATCCAGAGATCAAGCTCTTCCTGACTCACAGTCACCTAAGGTGACACACCGATCTGCCATCTCAGTGCTGTCATATTGAGAACTACAATTATTTTTTGACCTTTTTCCATTATTAATCCCTTAATTAGAAGATAAGCCTTGAATATCACCTACCATTTAGTGGTTCTTCTACAGCTTTCTGCAAAACATTTAAAAATATATATATATGTATAAAAAGCCTTCATGTTTACTTTTGGCTCGCCACAGTTAAATTACTCTAATTGACATATACAGTAAGTAGTGATTCTACAAAAATGAAGAAAGCTGAACGTTAATAAAATTAATGACTAGAGTTCTGAAAAAAATTCAGCCAGTCACTACCAGATTACTTTTTCCCCCACTGCAAATTCTTCCTCAGATGAAACACCTCTAGGTGGCAGCAAAAGGCATGCATACTACTTTTAAGCTCTAAAGCCTAACTGATTATTTCTATGAATTGATCAATGGTTAGTAATAAAGCAGCATGACTTAAAAAAAAAAAAAAATATATATATATAGTAGCCAAGCAATCAAGTGTAATCTCCTCAAAAGGAAATACACCACAGTTGTGCATTTAGTCTGGTAGACAATCATCAGAAACAACACACGCAATCTACAGCAACTTAAAAAAATTTTTTAAAAAAAATCAGTAATTGGTTAAGATGGCAGATTTCAAAATATGCACCTTTTCCCCCTCAGACTCAAGAAAGTATCAAGTATCATTTTATAAGTACAAAAATTAAGCATTAAGTCAATATTAAGTGTTCCATAGTCTTTAGATTACACAGAATCAAAGTGTATTTTCGAAATTACTTCACACCTATTTATTGCCTCTAAGTACAGCAATATATGCTGAGCAGCCCTGGATGGAAATGAGCAACTTATTAACAGTTAATGTTCCACTAGGTCTTTCCATAACTTCTGTAAGTTCATGGGCACAAATTATTGTCACTTGAATTCCTCTGTACCTGACCCTCCACTAACTGCACCTGCAAAAACCATAGTTTTAGTGTCTGAGATTTCCAATGACCTCTACATTTAAAAAATTTCTTTTGATTTCATTCCAGTCTGAAATTCACAGAGTAACAAGGTATTCCCTACTGCATAATTGTGGCTATTTCTTCATTTGTCAGACCCTCGCTGCAGTGTAAAACCACCTTGTGAAGAGAACAGCTCATAAATAGAACGGAGTTGCACCAAGGATGCCCCTTAGCATGTTGGTTTCTATTTCAAAACTTATTTACAACCAAAAACTAAGCTAAAAATCTCCTCCTGCCCTGTTTGCTCCCATTCTACAAGTAAATACAAGCATGTTAGCATGTTAGACAAAGGCAAGTTTGTGTTCTGAAAGAAGTATATCTGTAGTATGCTTCTTAGCTCATTCTTGTAATATAATGAACTTCGTGAACCTCCTTTTTCTTCTTTTAAACTCTGTGCACTTATATTCCCTACATAAGTAAGAGAGCAGTCCTCTGAAATACTACTCCTTAAAATGAAAATGGATGAGGAAAAGCAAAGGGGAATAAATAAATTAAAAAATCTCTGTTGTCCTAACTGTAGTCAGCTCTCCTGCCACACTGTTAGAAACTCTCTATCTTCAGCAGCTGGGTCTCTGGTTGCAGACTGAAGAGGAGACCTCTAAATGTGTCTCAGATGATGGCTGCCAGTATCTGCCATGCTCCCCTACTACATGGAAATTTTACTGGTATTTTATAGTTGTGCCTCTTCACTTGCTTCTGCAGAACTTCAGAAATCAAGCTGTTCAGATTCATGCATCACTAGAAAGCACTGTGTAAGTCTAAGAAAATTACCGTTTTAAGAATGATTCCTCTAGAATTTGAAAAACTGAATGAAAAACCTTCTCTAAAAAAAACAAAGTGCTTTTGCATTTGTTCTGTGTGACCTAAAGACAGACACTCTGCTTTCAGATGGTGTCATCAAATTAAGGGGCATTATAGGAAAATAAGAAAAAAAAAAAAAAAAGAAAAAGATGAAGGCTATAGTACCCATACAGCTGGGAAATCAAGAGAATATTAAAGGGTTCTGGTGTAAAAGACCATAGGAAAAAAAAACCTAAGTCTTTGTTATAAACCACTTAGGATTAAAAAAATTAAGTGTATTCTGCACTCACCTTAATGTAAAAGTATTTGCATTAAGGTGAGCAAAAGGTCTTTATAAATTCATGCGAAACAGTGCACTGTAAAAGAACATCAAAATTCCCTTCACATCCACCACTTTTTTGTGACAGCCCTTGACACTCCGTTTGGGCACAAGCATTGGAGTAGCTGTCAGGTAAGGGTGGCAATTACAGTACTAGAGACACACTCAATAGGGACAATGAAGACCACCAACTCACTCAACATTAGACATCTGTTACACAGCCAGAACTTTTGCTTGCTACCAACCTGGTCTGAATTCGAACTAGTGAAGAAAGGTTCAGTATCTCACTACAATCCCCTGAGCCATCTAGTCACCCCAAATTTATTAATTTTAAGCTTACCCCTGGACGAGGATGATCTCTCATTCTGGAACCTAAAACAATTACAAAAAAGTGACCAGGCAGATAAATAAATGTCATGATCAACCAAATAAAAATATCTACTACTAAAACCTGTAACAGAATAGCAACACACAAAAGTGAAGCCTCCTCTTTCCAAAACTACTTAATATGATGATCTGCAAATTCTAAAAGCCTCTAAGCACTCCTCTGTTTAGGAACTCAATGATCTTACCACGTGCAGTCTGTGAATTGTCTCACTCATGCATTCAGCTCTAAAACTGAATTACGCTACACACTACTCTTTGTGCTTATTTTGGTGTGCTGGAATCTACCCTAACAGCCACATCTGACTTCTTCAGCCAGCATAATCAACTATAAATGCAATATTTATGCAGACCATTAGCACGCAGCATCAAAGTTGTACATATGAGTAGTGCAAAGTCAATAAAAGTTACTTCTATCGTTGTTAAAAGGCTTGCTTCAACTCTGTCACATTTTAGACTAAACTTCATCCACCTCAGATATCAACTATTAGGCATTCTGCCTTAACTTCTTCTTTAATGAAAATCCTCCCTGTCTCAGCTTCTGTTACTTCTGACCATGCTCACACATGGCATTCAAGCACTAAACCTGGAAGACTGCATTGCTCAGTGCAGACCAGGGACTGCGCTGACTGTATGCACATCAGCTTGAATCTGTGAGCAACGCATCCTCGATTCCATGGTTCTGTGTCCAAACTAACAAGCTTTGAAGAGCCTTCATGCATAGTTAGAAACACACAAGTCACTCTGCTCTCAGATTCAGGGTGTAAAGTCCAAGTATTGTTATGCTGGGGTGTGCCAGCCTAAGAGATGTCTGCACCACATTCAAATCACCCAGCACTGCTGTGATTTTTGCTTATTTAGCAGGCCCGACTGGCTTTTATACCTTTAAATCTCTCATTTTTTTGAGATCTGGTGAACAGACCAGTTTGTGAAACAAAGTATTGCTATTCTTTGCTCCTGGCTTTTAAAATTAAGCAGAAGAAAAAACAGGATTCACTAAAATGAAAGGTGTGCATTCAAATCGCTCTTATTTTAACCTACCTCTAACCAGTGGACATCACTAGGCAGATTTTGCTTCTTCAAATACATATTCTGATAATCTTTTGTCTGCACCATCCCATAACCCACTCTATAGAGTCCTCAAAATCCTTTTGCTCTCTTCGTTCTAAGCTTCAGCTAGGCAACAGTGTAAATGCAGAGCTTAAGCAGCAATGTCTGTCCTACAGTTAAAACACTTTTACTTAAGAAACCTGGCTCTGTTGATCTTGAGACAGTTTACTATGATAAACTGTAAATTTCCCTACTCGAGATTCCCCACAAACAAAGCCAATATATACCATTTTTCAGTAATTTTTAAACTAGGCAATTGTGAAATTATACCTTATGTTCAGACAAGGTATGTTTACCTCTGAAAAGTACAATAGAGAGAATGTTCTTCTGAATATTTAAGTGCTAAAAAAAAAAAGAAGCAGAATATTAGGTGGTACTTACCCATAATACACACGTAAGCCAGACTAAGCAAAACTGCAATAGCCATAATAGCTAAGCCAGCAATCACAACAGGCGCATGTAACGGAGGACAGGCTGTTCAAAACGAGACAAGAACGGTGTAATCTGACACAAGTAAAAGCACAAACTTCCATCTTCAGATATAACTGAACACTAAAATAAATAAGCTTGACAAAACCAGATGTGATTAATTTCTCTTTCAAAGCTATCCCAGAACTACTTCTGCATCTTCATTTTTCTGTATATATTCTTTAATGATACAGAGGCATTTACTGATCTATCCTGGTTAGCTCTACTAATCTACTACACTTTAGCTATTCTATTGACATTCACTGCAGCTGACAACCTTCTTCTTTCATTAACTGTGTCGCAAATTTAAACTTACATCTTCAATCATCTCAGTTGTTTTGAACTATAATTGCATTAGATTACAGAACACAATACCATCACTGACAAAACAGGATTTAAAAAAAAAAGGGGGAGGGGAAGAACAGAGCAGAATATGAGGGTAGTTCTGAGGCAAATCCATC